CGACCATGGCGTCGCGCACGTCGGGCGCCGGCTCCCACGGTTTCGCGGCGACGGCGGCCGGCGCGGGCGACACGACGACGCACTGGTCGAACTTCGCGCCGCCGCGGCCGCCGTAGGAGCCGGCGAGGCAGTAGACGCCGCCGGGGCCGAACCACTGGTGGAGCTCGTCGCGCGTACGTCGCGAGGGCCGGGACGAGACGCCCCAGCGGATGCGCACGCGCTTGCCGACGGCCGCGAGCGGCTCCGCGCCGGGCCGCCCGCCGCGCGACGCGCCGCGGACGCCGTCGCAGCCGGCGACGACGTCGAAGGCGACGGCGCGGCCGTCCTCGAGCACGACCTCCGCGCCGCCCGTTCGGCGTCGCCGCGTGGCGCGGACGCGGCTCCCGAGCTCGAAGGTCGTCCGTTCGCACTCGGCCCGCAGCAGCGCCTGGAGCGCGTCGCGCATGACCGTGTAGGCGCGCACGCCCGCGCCGGCGTCGTCGACCAGGCCCGCGCCGCGCGACCGGCCGTCGCCGAGGATCGCCGCCTCGAGGTCGAGGTCGAGGAGCGTCGACCCGTCGACGGTCCGCGACAGCACGCGGCGCACGGGCGACTCGAGCTCGCGCAGCCCGGCGCCGAGCGACGGCGAGAGCTTCGCGAGCACGGCCGCGCCCGAGTTCAGCTGCACGCCGCCGCCGAGCGCCGGCCGCAGCGAGTCCGACTGGTCGAAGACCGTCACGTCAAAGTCGCCGAGCTTCTCCAGCGCGACGGCGAGCGCGAGACCCGCGGGGCCGGCGCCCACGATGCCGACGCTTTTGACCGGCGGCGCGAGCGCCGCGGCGCTGGGCAGGAACGCCGCAAGGCAGAGCGAGAGCCGAGCTGCAGCCATCATTGCGAAGGCTTGTCGATGTTGCAGAGCAAGCTCTTGTCGTTGAACAACGCTGCCCTCGACTGTAACTCACGCTCTCCTAAACGTCCGCGTGTCGTCGGACCCGGCCATGGAAGGGCTCTTCGGGCGCATCCCGGAGGAGGCGCCGGACGAGAGTCCGGCGTCGACGCCGCCGCCGAGCCCCGCGCGGGACGCCCAGGCAGCCCCGCCGGCCGAGCAGGCCCTGTGCCGCGTCGCCTCCGTGGTGCTCGCGAAGGACGGCGTGGAGCTGGGGCGCGTCGAGGACGTCGTGCCCCACGCGCTCATCGAGGCGGGCGCCGCGAAGCCCGCCGCCGAGCCCGGCCGCGAGGACGAGGACTGCCTCTGCGTGCGGCTCGGCCCCGCGGGGCTGGCGGACGCGGCCGTCGGCGCCGCGGTCGAGCGCGCGGCGCTCGACCCGGCGGCGCCGTTCTGGATGTACTGGGCCGACGCCCGGGCCGCCTTCGCGGGCTGCGCCGTCGTGTCCACGGCGCCGCTCGGCGACGGCGACGCGCCGCGGCGGCGGCGGTCGTCGTCGAGCCCGCGGCGGCGCGCGTCCGTGCTCAAGGGCCGCGCGAGCATCATCGGCGACCGGGCCTGGATCGCCCGGGAGCGGCACGTCTACGCGCGGCTCTTCGGGAGCGACGAGGGCGACGCGCGGTTCGCCGCGCCGGGCTCCGCGACGGAGCTCGCGCTCCGGCAGGCGCGCGACGGCCTCCGCGAGGAGCGCGACGCGCTCCGGCGCCGCGACGCGCACCTGCGCGAGGCGCGGGACGCGCTCCTCGTCGAGCTCGAGCAGGCCAAGCAGGGCCTCGAGGCGCTCCGCGGCGACCGCGACGCCGCGCGCGCGTCCGTGCGCGACATGCGGACCGCGCGCGCCGACGGCGCGCGCGCGTACGAGCAGTCGATCCGCGACGAGCGCGACGCGGCCGTCGCCGAGCGCGACGCGGCCCTCGCCGAGCTGGAAACGGCGAACGAGGCGCTGCGTGCACAGGAGGGCCGCGCGGACCCGAACGAGCTCGCCGCGACGCGCGCGGCGCGCGACGCGGCCGCGGCCGAGCGCGACGACGCCCTCGCGGCGCTCGCGGCCCTCCGCGGCGCGCGGGCGAGCGCCGACGACGACGCCGACGCCGCGCGGCGCGCGGAGGCGGCGCTCCGGGCCGCGCGCGACGACGCGACGCGCGACGGCGACGTCGCGCGGAGCTCCGCGGCCGCGCTCCGCGGCGAGCGCGACGACGCCCTCGCGGACCTCGACTCGGCGCGCCGCGAGGCCGCGCGGCTCCGCGAGGCCGCGCGCGCGTCCGCCGGCGAGGCCGACGCCGCGCGCGACGCCGCGAAAGCGAGCAAGGCGAAGATCGCGGACCAGCGCGACGTCGCCGTCGCGCGCGCCGCGGAGCTCGAGCGCGAGCTCGCGGCCCTCCGCATGGCCAACCTCGTCGCGCCGGAGACCGCGCGCCACGCGCCGTCGAACGGGACCGCCGCGTCGCCCTACGCGAGCCCGCGCGCGAGCCCCTACGGCAGCCCCACCGGCCGCAACGGCGCGAACAGGAGCCGGAGCGACTGGCTCTTCGAGTCCACGAAGGAGGTCTACAACCGGGTCCTCAACCAGGAGGTCGCCAACCGGAGCCAGAACGGCAGCCTCGACTCGTCGTAACACACAGATCGCGGCAAGTCCTTGAAGGCTCGCTGAATTCTGCCTGCAGCATGCGCATGGGAGGCGAGTGAGGCGTCGCAACGAGGCATCGAGCTGCGCTCCGATCTGGCTCGCTCCAACCTCAGTTTGCGCTCCAGCCTCGCTGCGCTCCGACCTCGCTGCGCTCCAGCCTCGCTGCGCTCCGACCTCGCTGCACACGTAGCCATGTCTTCCACGCCGACGCTGCGCGAGTGGCTCCGCGCGGGGCCGTTCAGCCTCGTCCTCTCGCAGGGGTTCTTCGTCTTCCCGGCGCTCGTCGGCGCGCTGCTCGCCATCGAGGAGTGCCTGCAGGACGACGGCGCGCCGCCGCGGCCGCTGCGATCGGCGATCCACGCCGTCTCCGGCTCGTCGTCGGGCGCGCTCGTCGCGGCGTTCGTCGCCGCGGGCCACGACCTCGCGAGCCTGCCGGGCGTCGTCAGAGGCCTCGACGCGCGCGAGATCGTCGCCGTCGACTTCCGGGGCGGCGGCCTCGTGTCCGGGCGCGCGACGGCGGACGCGCTGCGGCGGCGGCTCGGCGCCGTCGCGATGCGCGACTGCCCGACGCCCGTCGGCGTGTCGGCCTTCGACCTCGCGAGCCGCCGCCTCGTCGCGATCGGCGGCGACCAGGACCTCGCCGCGGCCGTCGTCGCGAGCTCCTGCGTGCCGCTCCTCTTCGCGCCGCAGCGGCTCGCGGGCGGCCGGCTCGTCACGGACCTGGCCTTCTTCCTCGACGCCGGCGGCGCGCGCGCGCTGCCGTCCGCGCCGAAGAGCGGCCGCGTGCTGAGCGTGTGCTGCGACGACTGGAACCTCCGGCGGCTGTCGCGCGTCGACGGCGCGGTCACGCTGTCGCTGCGGCACATCGCGCGCGTCGCGCCCTGGGCCGTCGCGACGCTCGGCGACCGCGCCCTGCGGGAGGCCCGGCTCGCGACGCGCGCGGCGTGCGACCGGCCGCTCGAGCGGCGGCGCGGGGGCGAGTTGGGCGTCGATGCTCGGGGACCGAGCTCCGACAGACACCTCTTGTTTGTGCTGCTCCTCCTGGTCGGGCTACTCTGCTTAAAACTGAGTTAGGCCGGCGGCGTCTGTTTGTGCTGCTCTACTAAAAAACTAGTTAGGCCGGCGGCGTGTGTCTCCGCAGCCGCGCGTGGACGCCCTCGTAGACCGTAAAGCGCGTCGAGCTCACGAGGAACGCGCGCGAGACCGCCGGCGCCGCGCCCGCGAAGAAGCCCAGAAAACCGCGCGTGCGGAAGACGGACCGGGCCACATGCCTCGTGGACACGGCCAGGTCCGGCGTGACGCGCTGGACGTTGGCCTTGACCGTGTCGAGGGGCTGCGAGATGAGCCAGCCGAACGCGCCCGAGACGCCGCCGGAGACGGCGACGGCGGCCCAGCCCGGCACGGCGGCCGCGACGAGCGACTTCGTGTGCTCGTAGACGCCAAAGTAGGCGCCGAGGAAGATCATCTCGCGCGCCGTGTTGACGTAGTGGCCCCGGAAGACCGCGAGGACGCCGCTCGTCCGCGATATCTCGTAGCAGCAGTGCGCGCTCGACCGGTAACGCTTGTGTTTTGGGTCGTTGTCGAGCTGGAGCTGGATCTTCACGTACTCGAAGGGCGTCGACACGAGCGACGCGATCGGCCCCGCGGCGGCGCCCGCGACGACGACGCGCGCGTCCGGGCCCCGCAGCGGGCCGTCGGCCACGCCGAGCCTCGACCGCATCGTCGCGTACGACCCAAAGTTCATCGTGTTCAGCAGCGTCAGCGCGCAGAGCGGCGGCATGAAGCCTCGGAAAAAGGCCGTCGCGCCCTCCTCCCGGGCGATGGTCCGGAAGGCGCGCAGCATGCCCGCGTTGAAGCGCTCCGGCTGCGCCTGGAGCCGCGTCTTCACGACGTCGAACGGGTAGCCGACGGCCGTGCCAATGACTCCGGCGGCGGAGCCCGCCGCGGCCTCGCGCCAAGCCATGCCCAGTCGTGCGAGCTCAGATGATCTGATCTCGCCAAGCCATGCCCAGTCGAGTCGTTCAGATCTTCAACTTTAGGTTCACTCTACACTTCAAGCAAGCGAAGAACAACTCTAGAGCCCGTTTATGTCCTTCAGCTCGAAGATGCGCGTCGGCGCCCGGTGCTTGCTCTGGTTCGAGTGGATGATGACCTTCGAGCGGACGTAGTTGCCGTCCGTCTTCTGCGCGAGGCGGAGGCAGTGGACGTCGTTGAGCAGCCGCGGGAACATGTCGCGCGGGCAGTAGGGCCCCTTCGTGGAGCCGCCGACGAAGACGATCGTGTTGCCGACGACGGCGGCGCCGTGGCAGTGCCGCGGGCTCGGGGGCTCGCCCGGGAACGCGTGGCCGTGCGGGTCGCGCCGCCACACGGGCTTGTGGGGCTGCAGCAGGCTGAAGACGCAGATGTCGTTGTGGCAGATGGAGCCGGCGAGGTTCGCGCCGTTGAAGCCTACCGAGAGCGGCGGATTCTGCTTTCGCTCGCGCGCGAAACATCATTCGCGGGGGGAAAAACGCCGCGCCGGCCCGCGCCCGTGACGGGCCCCGTGCCTCCGAAGACGTAGATCGACGTCCCAAAGGTCACCGCGGAGCTGCCGTAGCGCGCGGACGGCGCGACGCCCGCGGTCTTCGGCGGCTCCCAGCTCGCCGTGCCCGCGAGGGGGTCGATCTCGAGGCACGCGACGAAGTCGTCGACGCAGCCGTCGCCGCCGAAGCCGCCGAAGATGAAGACCTGGGCGGTGCGAAATTCCCAACTTCAAAGGCTCCTCTCTCGACCGTGTTCCACTCGCTTCGGCTCATTTTTGGACGAGCGATCATCTCTCGGAGCGCTCTCGAAGCGTGGATGCTTTTTCCGAAACGATCGCGCGCGGAACACTCACGTCGAAGCGAACTCGAATCACCCCGTTCCCGCCCCGACGAAGACCGCGTCCCAGTCGAGGGGCGCGGCCGCCGCCGCGTGGCCGCTCCGGGGCGACGGCGCGTTCGGCGAGTCGCCCGTGCAGCACCGCCACCAGATGAGCGTCTCGAGGTTGAGCGCGTGGACGTCGTTGAGGTAGTCGCAGCCGTCGTAGCCCCCGACGACGACGAACGTCGTGTCCACGACCGTCCCCGTGTGGCCCTGGCGCTTCCGCGGCACGTGCCCGACGGCGTCGACCTTGAGCCAGTGGCCCTCGGTGCCCTCGTCGTTCTTCAGCTGGAGCCGCCAGACGTCGTTGTTGTAGCCCTTGGTCCCGACGCCGCCGAAGACCCAGAGCGAGCTCTTGTACGCAAAGGTGCTGTGGTACGCGCGCCGCGACGGCTTCGTCGACGACGTCACCTCCAGCAGGATCCACTCCGGCTCCCGCGGGTCCGACGCGTCCACGATGTGCGTCTCGTCCGAGTAGCCGCCGCCGTAGCCGCCGAAGAAGTAGGCCTTGCCGCCGATGCCCGCGCCGGACACGCCCTTGAACGGGAGCGGCGCCTCCTTGCCGCGCACGACCACCTCTTCCCACGTGCCGGACTTCGCCATCGCTCAGGAGTCAGAGCGCGCTCCTCGAGTTGGGGCAGCCCATCGGCGCTGCCCAACCGATTCAATGCGCCTCAAGATGCATCGGTGCTGGCTTTCGAGCTGTGCAAGGCGCCCCGACTTGCGACACGCGGCGCCGACGCCCGGGCAACGCAGCGCGAGGCGGTCGTAGCATCGTTTACCTGCGAAGCCGACCAAACACCCGCGCATCGATGCGACGGACCTGCGCGTGCATGGCGGCGCTCGCGACGAGCGCTCGCGGCGCGAACGCCTCCGCTGGGGCGGGCGCGCTGGCGCGGGCGCGCGCGCTCGTGCCGCCGAGCGTCGTCGCGACGAGCCACGGCGATACCGAAGGCATCGACTTCTGGGAGGAGCACGCGTCGCTGCTGGAGGCGGCGCGCGTCGAATACGGGCCGCTCGACGCGTCCGTCTACGCGCCCGGCGAGGGCGACGTGCTCGGGCCGGACGGCTGGCACGTCGAGGGGACGGACGTGCCGGGCGTGTACGCCGTGCGCGTCGTGAGCGAGCGCTTCCTGGAGAAGCTGGGCGCGGAGCTCGCGCACCTGCGGGCCTCGGGCATCCCGCTCCGGCGGCCGAACGGCATGAATCGCCACGGCTGCATCCTGAGCCACCTCGGCTTCGAGGCCGCGATCGAGAAGATCTGCGCCAAGGCGCTGCGGCCCCTCGGCCTGCGCCTCTTCCCCCACGCGCTGCGCCCGTCCGACGTCGGCCACAGCTACGCGTTCTCCGTGCGCTACGAGCCCGAGCGCGACGACGGCGACGTCGACCTGAGCGAGCACGCGGACGGCGCGGCGCTGACGATGAACCTGTGCCTCTCGAACTGCGCGTCCGCCGGCGGCGACCTGCTCTTCCGCGGCGTGCGCTTCCACGAGAAGGACGCGGACGACGCGCCGGTGAGACGCGTCAAGCAGACGCCGGGCGTCGCGCTCGTGCACCTCGGGCAGCACCTGCACGCGGCGGCGCCGACGACGAACGGGACGCGCGAGAACTTGATCATCTGGGCCCACGGCGAGCACGGCTACGTGCGCATCGCGCCCTACAACGCCGACGGGTCCGACGGCCGCCCCTTTTACTAGCCTCGGAGGTCCAAAATCGCGTCGCGGAGGCGCCGGAAGTCGTCGTCGGTGTTGTAGACCGCGTGCGAGAGCCGGAGGAAGCCGCCGAGCGACCCGTCGTCCTCGCGGAAGCCGCCGACGGCGGCCTCGACGCCGTACCGGTCCCGGAGCCGCGACCGGACGCTCTCCGGCGCGGCGGGCACGCCGGGCGCGTCGAGGGCCATGTCCAGGCCCGCGGGGAGGCGGACCATGCCCATGCTCGCGAAGCAGTCCGCCTCGTCGCAGGCCGGGCCGACGCGCCAGGCGCGGGCGAGGCCCGCGGCGGCGCGGCGGAGGCCCCGCGCGTTGAAGGTCCGCGCGTCGAGGCCGTCCGCGGAGCGCCAGGTCCGCAGGTAGTCGAGCGCGACGGGCGCGGCGCGCATGGCCGCGTAGTCGCGCGTGCCCGTCCAGCGGCAGTCGGCGAGGAGCCCCTCGCCCGCGTTCCAGGACGGGACCACGTGCGCCGCGCGCCCGTCGCGCGCGTGCAGCACCGTCGCCGTCGGGCCCGCGAAGGCCCACTTGTGGATGTTCGAGTAGTAGAAGTCGGCGCCGATGGCCTCGACGTCGACGTCGACCTGGCCGACGGCGTGCGCGCCGTCGACGGCGACCTACGATCGGACGTCTTCCGGGCGCGAACATACGCGGCGGACGCCGAAGACCGACCTCCTCGACGCCGCGCGCCCGGCAGAGGGCGACCATGTCCGCGACGGGCAGGAGCAGCGCGGGCTGGGACGCGACGTGGTCCAACAGCGCGAACCGCGGCCGCTCGCGGTCGAGCGCGGCGTCGAGCGCCTCGAGCACTCGCGCGTGCGTCGTGCCGGGGAAGGGCACGGGCGCCTCGACGACGTGCTCGGGGCCGAGGAGCGCCCGCGCCGCCCGCTTCACGCCGCCGTAGGCGCACGACAGGAGCAGCGCCGCGCCGCGGCCGCGCCATCGGTGGAGCGCGATCGCCGTCGCCACCGTCGCGTTCTCCACGAGCGCCGCGGTGCCCGCCGGCGCGCCGATGGCGGCGCCCGCCGCCGCCGCCGCCGCCGCCAGGTCCTCGTCCAGCGCCCGCGAAAAGTACTCGGCGTCCGGCTGTCGGAGCCAGTTCATGCGAATGGCCTGCTCGGCCTCGAGGACCGGCTTCGGCGCGGCCCCGAAGGAGCCGTGGTTCAGCCGAGCGACGTTTGGTGCGTGGTGCGCGAAATCGTCGGCGAATTGCGCTGCCGGGGCGCGCGTAAAGCGCCTGATCTGGCGCCCATACTGGGCTGCCTTCATCGGCACCATCGTTTGTGCACTGGTGTTGCAGGCGAGGCGAAGCTCTTATGGAGGCTGGGCCGCTGCCGCCGCCAGTTCCTCCGTCGATGTCGACGCCAGCTCCAGCGGTCGCCGGGCCGCCGCCGCCTCCCTCAAAGCCGCCAGCGATGCCGACGCCCTCTCCGGCGATCGGGCCGCGGCCGCCGACGACGAAGCCTCCGCCCTCTGAAGCGACGACGGCGACGCCTCCGCCGCTGCCGCGGCCGGCCCTTGTCTGCGAGAAGTGCCCCGTCGAGCGGCCGTTCGAGCGCCCCGTCGAGCAGTCCTCGGCGCGCCGCTGCGCCAGGTGCCAATCGACGGAGACGGCGGCGACGCTCAAGTGCTCGCGGTGCCGGAGCGCGTGGTACTGCTCGCGGAGCTGCCAGCGGTCGGACTGGAAGGCGCACAAGGCGACGTGCGAGCCCGGGCTCGAGCTCGAGCCGCTCGCGGACTTTTCCCGCGCGGCGCCGACGTGCGCGGCGTGCGGCGGCGCCGCGTGCGGCCCCGACGAGCGGCTCGGCCCCTGGGACCGGTACCGCGAGTGCTGCGGCGCGTTCCTCTGCGAGGGCTGCGAGTTCGGCGACGGCTCGCGCAAGCGGGCGGGCCCCGTGCCCGCGGCCGCGGACGCGTGCCCGCGCTGCGGCGCGGCGGCCGCGGCGACGGCGGCGGCGGCCGTCGCGCGGTGCCGGGGCCGCGCGGGCGCGGGCCAGCAGGACGCGCGCTTCGTGCTGGGGATGACGCTGCTGCGGGGGCTCAAGGGCCGGCGCGCGCAGCCGTCGCGCGGCGGCGCCGCGCTGCTGGAGCTCGCGCGCGCGGCCGACGACGGCGACCCGCGGACGGCATGGGTCGGCGCCGCGAACTACGAGGTCGCGCGCGCGTACCGCGACAAGCTCCTCGTGCCCGCGTCGACGAAGGTCGCGCCCTTCCTGCGGCAGGCCGCGGCCTGCGGCCACGTCCGCGCGCTCCTGGAGCTCGCGAAGATGTACGACGCGGGCACGGAGGTCCGGAGGGACCGGAAGGAGTACGCGCGCCTCGTGGAACTCGCGAGCGCGAGCGGCTTCACGGAGGCCAAGCGCTGCCTGTCGAAGCTCTACATCGACGGCGACGTGCTCGAGCGCGACCGCGAGAAGGCCGCGCGACTGTTGGGGCTCGAGCGGACGGCGGAGATGTGGAAGGACGGCAAGGGGCCCGAGGCGCCGGCGTTCCTCTTCACGTCGCCCGCGCCGGACCAGGCCGGCCGGGACCTGCCGAAGGACGAGTACGACGACGCGGAGATGGACGCGTTCTTCGACGGCGACTAAGTTTTGTGGCGGGTAGAATTCGAGTCGACAGCGTCGCCGGGGACTCCTCCCCGGACAACGCGAATACAGCCCTCATCGGAGAAAGTAGCTCAATTAGGGAGATCGGGTCGCTTCCAGGAAGACGGTCGTCCGGACGGGGTCGGCGTCCCGCCCCCCGGCGACGCGCTAGCCGCGCGGCCGACGGGTCGTCCGCCGAGGTTCCAGAGCATCATTGCCAAGACCGGCTGCGCGGGCCAAGAGCGCGACGACGACTAGTCGCCCGCACGCGCGGCCGCGCGGGCCGTCCCGAGCCGGTCGTTCGATCCCGTCGGAGGAGCGACGCCCGCGCGACGCCGTCCGACCGGCACCGCTCGGCGCGAGCACTTGGTCCAAGCACGACCGCGTCGTCGCCGACCCGGACCCGCCGCGCCGGAGCTCCGGGAGCCCGAAGACGCCGCGGTCCGCGCGCGGCCGACCCGCTCGGAGACCCGTTCTCGGAGCGGCGACCGCGGACCGATTTCGGCGCGGCGCGAGCTCGCGACGGCGCCAGTGACCGGGTCCAGGGGTTCGACGAGCGGATCAAAGCCTCAGAGGGCGCCGATGAGCCCGGCGGACCGCGGGGCCACGCGCAGACCGCGCCGTCGCCGCGACGAGCCGAAAGCTGCCCGGGCGCGAGAGCGCGGTCGCCGACGCCGACCGCGGCGCGTCCGCGGCCGAGGACGGTCCCGGGGGGCTCCGCGGAGGCGGTGGCGGCGGCCGGGAGGGCGGCGTCGGCGCGCGGGGCGGCGGCGACGACGTGCCGCGCGGCGCCGGCGGCCCAGAGCTGCCCCAAATGGCCAAGCTTGGGGAGGCTGCCCCGAGGGGCCGCCAACGGTGCGACGCGGGTTTACTGGATAGATTGAAGCGTATGACTACTCCGCGACTGGATAACTGTGTGACAACCCGCAAATGGCACCGCTATTTTTGACCAACAATGGCGAGTAGTCAGAGCTTTGTAGTATACTGTCGAAAAAATCGCAACTACTCCACATACCGCAAATGTCGTTTTGTCGGTGTGCCCCGCCTCGCGCATACCTTATGGAGGAGGCAGAAATTCGAATGAGTTTCAGCCTCCCCGCCGGTCGACAGTTCAGCAATGAACAGTCGAGTGGTTCAGTAGACTGACGAGAGTCTCCTGGGTGGGTCCACTGGTCGATATCAGTGGTCTCGCTTGGGGATGATCAGTGTCTTACTACGGAGTGGTCGACTGGTTTGAGTTTTACTACTCTCGGTCCCACGAAGTACCGCCAGCTCAGTTCGCTGAGTCTGCGCGACCTGATAGAAGACTCTTGCGTTGGTACGCCATGCGAAGAGTGGTCCTACTCGTAGGACCGGTTCTATTGTGCACAAGTCGCATGCGACCAGTGGTCGAGATAGGTTTTCTAGTAGAACCAGGTCTCGGTCGCTGAGCGTGCAACGAAGGCCCTACTCCGGGAGCCGACGAGTACTGGTGACCGTTGCCTATCGACTGTTCGCCCTGCATCTCGCAGGCGGGCGTCGAGGTCGGTGTGCTTTGCTCGTTTGGTCCTCTCGGTTTTGGCGCTTGAAAGTGCGAGAAGGTTGATCCTTCGACACGATCGATTGGTTGGACGTTCCATTGGGGAAGCCCTTTGGAGTTACGTCGGGCCGGTCGTTCGACGGTTGCTTCGGCGACTGTCACTCTACGCTATTTGCAAAAAGCGCCAAGGCTCTCGGTTTTATACTGAGGTCGAGTCGCGACTGAAGGACACCCTCGAGTGTTCCTTCGGTGGGAATAGCAATCTGGTTGATTCTGCCAGTAGTCATACGCTCGTCTCAAAGATTAAGCCATGCATGTCTAAGTATAAACGATTTTGTACTGTGAAACTGCGAATGGCTCATTATATCAGTTATAGTTTATTTGATAGTCCCTTACTACATGGATACCCGTAGTAATTCTAGAGCTAATACATGCATCGACTCCCAACTGCTTCGGCGGACGGGACGTATTTATTAGATTGAAACCAATGCGGGGGAGACCCCGGTATTGTGGTGAGTCATGATAACTTTGCGAATCGCATGGCCTTGTGCCGGCGATGGATCATTCAAGTTTCTGCCCTATCA